CTCACTTCTTGTTAAACAAAAGCTCTGGGTCAGTATTGCATTCTACTACTGATTACCCTTAAATGTTAGCAGACATTTGAACCTGCTTACTCTGATAGTATTAAAAATCAGCCTGTATTTCTAGCAATATTCTCTCCCACACCCTGCCATGCATGTGCCTTCATCCTACTCCTCACAGGATATTTTATTATTTTATGTCGAAACCTCAGCTCTCCCCTTAGTAGTTGTGCATAGCTAGCAAATGACTTACACTGGAAGCCTCTGTTTACTCATCTGTAAGATACAGAGGATACAATAGGACCCATGTAGGGTTGGTTTAAGGAATAGATGAAACAACACATATAAAGTATTAATAAGCACCAAAACCAAAAACCAAACCTGTTGCTGTTGAGTCAAATCTGACTCATAGTGATCCTATGGGACAGAACAGAACTGCCCTGCAGGGTTTCCATGGTTGTAATCTTTACGGAAGCAGATTGCCATGTCTTTCTCTTGTGGAATGGCTAGTAGGTTTGAACTGCTGACCTTTAAGCACTGAGTGCTTAACCACTGCTCCACTAGGGCTACTTTTAATGAGCACCAAAACCAAACCCAAACTTGTTGCCGTCAAGGTCAATTTCCACTCATAGGAATACTATAGGACAGATTAGAACTGCCCCATAGGGTTTCCAAGGAGCAGCTGGTGGTTCGAACTGTGGACCTTTTGGTTAGCAGGTGAGCTCTTAACCACTGTGCCATTAAGGCTTCTTTAATGAGCACAGTACGTAGAAATTAGTGAGCACCCAATAAATGCTAACAACTGTATTCTCTATAGCCTTGTCAAAACTGGAAATTAGAGAAATTTTTAATTCTACTGTCTTAGGCTGGGTTCTCTAGAGAAGCAAAACCAGTAAAGTGTATAAATATATATATATAGAGAGATTATATCAAGGAAGCAGCTCATGTGACTGTAGAGGCTAGAACATCCCAAGTCCGTGGATCAGGGTAGAGGCCTCTCCCAAGTCACACAGCTGCAGAAGCTGGCAAGCCCAAGATTGGCAGGTCAGAGAGCAGGGCTCCTGCTCACAGGCTGTGCAGATTGATGAATCCCAGGTTCGGCAGATAAGGTGACAGCTCAAGTCCCAAGAACGGGAGATGAGATGACAGGAAGCAGCCGCAGGATCCAGAGAGAGCAAAAAGCCAGAAGGTCTTCTTACATACAGATGTGGGCCACACCCCCAAGGAGACTCCCTTTCATCTGATTGGCTACTCACAGTATATTCAATCATGGGAGTGATTACATTAAAACACTGAGAATCATGGCCCAGATCTTAACCATCATACTACCAATCTGATTTAAAAAGTAGTACACTTTGATTACTTAATGTACATAGATTACTTGTGACTTCAGGCATAGTTTAATATTATTTTTGCCCATTTATTTTTTTTCCCTGTAAGAAGTCTATCCATTTTGTTCATGATATTTCTGTTACTCAATAATTTCTTTTTTTGTGTGCATGCCAAACTGAAACTATCCTAAATTACTCACTTTAAAAGCAGTCTATTATTGTCCTCTTGCATCTAGTTTTGCTGACAAGAATGCTGACATAATTTTGATTCTCATTAATTTGAAGTATTTTGTTCTACTCTACAGGATATTTGAGGATTTTTCCCTTTAACCTCAGGTGTATGAAATTTTACTACAATATTCTTAGATGTAGGTTTAAATGTAGATGTGGCTTTTAGTCGGTAGCTTTAGAGAACAGAAATTAATTTTCTCGCAGTTCAGGAGGCTAGAAATCTGAATTCAGGGCATGGGTCTAGGGTGAGGCCCTTCCTGGTCTATTTCAGCTTCTAGTAGCTTCCAGTCATACTTGTAGTTGCATATCCCTCCCTCATCTCTCTCTTCCTCTTTCCCCGTGTGTGTCTTTCTGTCCACTCTTCTCTTTTTGTAACTCAGAAGTGATTACATTTGGAACTCACCCCACTCAGATATGGTCTAATTTACATAACAAATACATTCCTAATTTCCATACAGAATCACATTTACAGATATAAGGGTCAGGATTTCAATACATATTTTGGGGGGACGTCTTTCAATCTATAACATCTGTCCTTTGTTTTATTCTGATCTTCTCTTTTCATACCCATTCCTCTGCTCTTGGACACAATCTTAATAAAAACCTAAATTAATTAACAGCTTCAAAAACTACCATATTGTGATAGTTTTAGCAAACACTGTCCATTTAATACTTTAATGATATTTGTGTTACATCTGATATTGGTTGGTTAGTATTTTGTAAACATGTTTCTGTAATTGTTAAGAAAATGCATAATCTGTAAAGAATATAAGTAAATATTTCATATATTGTTATATGCAATACCAAATGTTTATATATGTTGGGGTATGTTATACATTAGAGGAGGACAAAAGGATTTACTGCCTGAGTTTTAGAAATAATTTAACTGAATTCAAATCTCATTTCATTTTTATATGAATTCATGTTTATAGGGCATAAAAGGCTCTTGTAGATTATTTACCATAGATTTAGAAACGTAACTTTTCAAATTTAATTCAAATATTTGTGAAAATATATAGACAAAACACACAGCATGGATAAGAAAAAGATTACAGAACCAAAATAAATGAACAAAGGTGTCAAATAATTAACACACAATAAAATGCAAACATCTAAAGCTGCAACCTCAGCATAAGTTTGAAAGAAAACTGCAGCAATTTAAATGTTGTATCAGCAAATGTGCATATATATTTAACTGGAAAATTATATATATGATTTCATCTGTTTAAAAAGTGCAATGAGGAAAGAAGGAAATAGTTGAAAATGTTGGCTTGTGTGGTTTGTCATTATTGTTGCTTGTTTGTTTTTGGTTTGGTAAAGTTGCGGTGATTTTTTATTCAATTCTAGTCTATGTTTTTCTCTATTACATAAATTTTCTTCAGTGAGCATTAAAAAAAACTGAACTTATATAGCATACCACCAAAAATAAATAAATAAAAACAACAGGAATACTGCTTGGTCTTCAAAACTTTTTCTGGAGACATTTAAAATGAAATAGCTATTATTTAAGGGAAAAGCTAAAATAATATGTAAAGCTGGCACAGATTTTTAAAAAATTGATCAATACAAAAGATATATAATACATGCATCCACACACTTACGTAAAGGAAAAATGACTTTAAAATCACAGAAAATGATTGCTGAGGTAATGAGGCAAATCAGCACCCACCTCCCACAATCATAAAACTTAATATAACATACTCAAACATTTAAAAATCTGAACACATACTACTGTGACTCTCCTTGTTTTCAGATGGCATATTTGTACTGTTTTCAAATGTATATGCTTGTTTACTCGTGAGTCCAAAAGCCTCTTAACCTTGTAGCCTCCAAAAAAATTTCTGGGAAGTTTTCAGAAGGTGAATCTTGGGTTGTACTCACATATGAAAGAAAAACCATCAACCCGATGTATCGTGAACCGGCATGAAGGATCCATGCAGCCCCTGGATGTTGAAAACTCCCCTCATGTACTTTATCAAGACAATTTTTTTTATTGTTGTAGTTTAAATGAAGTTTACATTTCAAGTTAGTCTCCCATACAAAAATTTATACATACATTGTTATGTGATCCTAATTGCTCACCCCATACTGCGACAGCACACTCCTCCTTTCCACCCCTGATTCCCCATGTCCATTCAACCAGCTCCTGATCCTCTCTGCCTTCCCTTCTCACATCTGGACAGAAGCTGCCTATTTAGTTTCATGTATCTACTTGAGCGAAGGAGCACAAACCTCACGAGTATCCCTTTATGTCCCACGGTCCAGTTCAATTGCTGTCTGAAGAGTTGGCCTCGGAAATTGGGCTGATAGAGAATCCGGGGGCCATGCTTTCTGGGGTTCCTCCAGTCTCAGTCAGACCATTAAGTCTCGTCTTCTTACTAGAATTTGAGTTCTGCACCCCACCTTTCTGCTGCTCTCAAGACAATTTTTAATAAATGGTAAAAAAAAAATTATATTTCAAAAAATTTTAAGTGTAGTTTTATTTCCACCACACACCCAGTGCCTGGCTCTTTGGATGCCTTGGTTACTATAACATTTTGTATTGCCTTTGCCATGGCCTGCTTATCACCTCTAAATCTGAGGGAAGACTATTTAGAAAATGTATTCATTTATTAACCAAATATACAAAATACACCTAGTACTGATATTAAATGAATTCTAAAATGAGACAGAGTGCTGATTATTACATATACCAGAAGTTTCCATGATCTTCACGAAGAGTTATTAAGCCAGAAGATTTAAGGGTCATCTGAATGAGAGAGGAGTTTCCACCTCATGGTTGTATCAACTTCTTCTTCAAAATCTCCTAGTTCCTGCTCTTTAAAAAGCTCTAAGAATACCTAAGTAGGAGACAAAGAAGGAAGAGGAATCATCAAGTTGTTGATTGTCTTCCCAGTGAATAGGAGGAATACATGTTACTTGCATGTGAAATTTACAGGGATGATCCATAACCATAAAAAAGACTTGCCTGTTCCAGTGTGCATTGAGAGAGACTGTATTCTTCCAAGTCAAAGTTATGTTTCACTACAAAAGAAAAAACAAAGAAAGAAAGAAGAAGTGCCCATATTGATGTTTATAATTTTTCACCAAGAATTTTTTCAGTCATAGAAAGTAAAAATATAAATCATTAATATAAATGGAAGATAAAGGTGAATAAACAAGTTATTGGTGAAATAATGAGAAGTCATAAAGGGTTAATACAAATACATATTAAATTAATCTTGACATTAAAAGAATACTGTGCTCAAATAAATGGTTTGATAATATGTGTTTTCTTACTTAGTGTGTATGTCTTGGGGAAATATATATTTCCTTGAGGAACGATATAATTGATTGATATATTTTCACACATGAGGAAGACTTCATGGAAGGATGGAAGACTTCTCTATCACTTTTATTAGTGAAATATAAATCAAGGGAATTAGCTGAGAGAGAAAACTGAGGGGCGGTGGAAATGAACATGTAAAGAAAGAGGAGAAGAAGAGAAGTAGTAACGGAGACTTGGAGTATGAAAGGATTATGTAAATATAGGCAAAGCAGGCAAGGGGCTTGTTGAGGCTAGTGTCATGAATTCACAGGAAGACCAGTCACCATATTTGTGCTTTCTGCAGCTTTGGTCCCTGCACTGGAGATTAACCTCTTTTCAGAGAGCTGGATTAATCAAGGTTGGGGTTAAATACCACCATCCTCTACCTTTGGAATTCTTATATCATGCCACTACAGGGTCTTATTTTTTTATTTTTTTTACCATTTATTACACAATTACCTCCCATTAAACTATTATCTACATATGAATTGATTCTTCATAAGTTTTATTTAGATATCCTCATTCTTACCTGCCTCTAGTCTGTGAAAGGCCTGAGACAGAGGGTGAACATCTGCCATGGGTAGTTGATAGGCCAAGAAGGAGGAATACCTGGGAACAGGAAAACAACATACTTGAGCATGAGTTTCCAGGGCAGAAAACAACCATCAAAATAAATATTGACATTATTAACAATTTATTTCTAAAAATAATAGTCACACAAATTAATATGTGGCTTAAATAGGAAATAAATAAAATCATTTATCAATGGAAATTTAAAAAATTACTCTTGGTAGCTGGCTATTAAAGACAGTTCTCGTAATAATCCAGAATGATTACTTGTATGCTCAGTTTATGCAAACCTTTTGCTCAATGAATTCAGATATTCAGACATTGTCTTTGGTTAGTTCAGATTAGGTTGGGAACTAATGCCAACCTAAGAGTTTATCCTTGTCAACTTTCAGAAAGCTAAGTTGGAAAGAGAGATATGAGGTTGGGAGAGAGGAACGTAATGGCAGAGGAGGTATTTAAGACTGTAACTTAAAACTTCCTTGACTTCTGAGGAAGACCAGAATAAATTTTTTGGCATCTTGTTTGTATGTAGCCCTGGACTATACTAGAGATAATTCCATTATATTCATACTGTGCTGAACGAAAGTAGGAGATTTTATGTCCAACTTCTTAGGTGAGCTCATCCCTCCGAGGAATTTCAAATTCATTCTCTGCCTCCTTTCTCTTCCCCCAGTAACAGACACACACACCATTCTAGACTTCACTTTGAGGCAAAAAAACACCATTAAGGGGAGACTTATTGATTATCTCAATTGCTGTTTGTTTTCTATGAGGGGGATTTACTGGAAATATTTGCATCGTTGTAATAGGGTCACTATTGGTTGTAATTCCTATAATCAGCTTCCTGGGCATCTTTCAACTCTTATGATCTGGAAGACTCAACAAATCAGTTTTTGAGGTCTCTACCTTTTGCTAAGAAGTCAAATTACATTGACATTGTCACAGAACAAAAAAGGAACCGCTGAGTGGTTGGCCTACATTTTTCACCATAATCAAAAACTCCCTTCACCTTTCCTGCCGTGCTGCCTGCGGGAAAAGTTTCAGAATCTCCGTGTGCACCAAAGTCACTTGAGAAGGTTCCTTCATTTTTAGTTCTAGAATGTAATCCTGGCCAAACTTGCTTTTCAGGTGCTTGATGGAGCCAATGCATCTAGAGGCAAGAAGGATAAAGTGCTGAAAAAAAAAAATTGCCCCTTAATTTCTTGATGGTATTCTTAAATTTGAAATGTAGGGAAAAGGGTGTGACCGAAGGAGTGAGAAGCCAAGCTCCAGCTGCTGACAGTGGCCCCACCCCTTCCACAGAGAAACTCTTTTTTTGAGGAGTCAATGGTGGCCTCTGGACAGGCACCCACCTGAGCCTCCCAGACACCATGATGGCCACGCGGTCACACACGGCCTCAGCCTCGGCCAGGTAATGTGTGACTAGGAGGGCCCCCTTCTCGGTATTTTTAATGGCTGCTTGGATTGTCTGCCTGAAGTGAATCAAGAGATTATTTAAACAAAATACATAAACAAAATACTGTATTTTATATTTAAATAAATTTGTATTTAAAACAAAAAAAGTAAGAAAAAAGGAAGAGAGATGGAGGGGAGACTAATAGATAAAATACAGTTTATGAATCTTATTTGGATCCTAGTTCAAACAAATCAGAGAAATACAAATACTAACTAGCTACTAGATAACATTAAATAATTGTTTTTAATATTTTTAGGTGTGGTTATGTTTTAAAAAAAAGACTTCATATCTTTTGGAGATACTAACTGAAATATTTATAAATAAAAGGATATACTGCCTGGGACTTGCTCCAGATAATTGAAGGGTGGAGAAAAGAAGTGGGTGGGGGTATAGTAGATGAAAGAAAATTAGCCATATGTTAATAACTATAGAAACTGGGTGATGGGTTCATAAATGATTCTCTCTGCTGTTGTTGTTGTGTGCCATCCAGTTGATTCCTACGCATAGTGACTCTATAGGATGGAGCAGAACTGCTCCATAGCATTTCCTAGGTTGCAATGCTTATGGGAGCAGATCACCATGTCTTTTCTCCTGCAGAGCGACTGGTGGGTTCGAAACTGGATTTGAACTGCCAATCTTTGGGATAGCAGCTGAGTGCTTAACGACTGTGCCACCAGGGCTCCTTTATTCTCTCTACATTGTATAAGATTCCTATAATAAAGTTTGAAAATAAGTTGAAAAGAATATTGGACAGTCACAAATATGAAACTCCATTGGAGAATTTTTATTAGTCCAAGGGGATGTCCTAGATTGGAAAGTAAGAAGAGAAAAATTGTGCTTAAAAACTGGATAAACAAAGTTGACAGATTGGGTTGAAAGGAAAAAAAAAAAAGGGAACTGAGTCAGTAAATTAATGTTCTCTAAGGAAGCAAAGTAGCAGTTAAAAAATTAAATAGAAAAAGGAGACCGTTATAGACATCTCAGTAATTAAAACGTAAAATCAAAATACACTCCAAACTGTAAGACCTAAAAATCCAACAAAGTACTTACAGAGTTTCTTTTTTACCTGAATAACATATGAATATGATGCAACATTACAGGATTATTTGTGAAATATTTGTTTTCCCAATAATGTGGACAACTCCACTGAAATAGCAACCAGTGGATTAGAGGGTTGATTTCCAAGATCAGTTTAAAAATGCAACTTCTCATACTGTGTGGACTCCTGGCTTATGTGTACAGGGTCAGCTAAAAAGAGGAAGACCCTCAAAGTGATGGATTGACACAGCGGCTGCAACAATGGGCTCAAACATAGCAATGTTTCTGAGGATGGAGAGGGACTGGGCAGTTTCTGTTTGGTTCTGTTGTACGTGGGTTCACTATGAGTTGGAACCGACTCCACAGCACTTAACACCACCACCACTCCTAGCTCCAGCGGTTGTGATCATTCTCACCACATTTGTTGCTGCACGGTGGGATCCAGGCCTGTAGACGGTTCATCCAGAAGCAGCACAGGTGAGTTTCCCAGGATACTCAGCACAAAACATAACTGAAATGCAGAGAAACACCCGTTTGCTGCCACACTGTGCCAGCTCTCAGAATACCATCACAAGCCACACGTACCGTTCTACTGCTTCCTGCTGTTAATTTCTGCACCGGAACATTTAGCAGCTCCTGCAGTTTGAAAGCATCCACTAATCTGATGGAAAACAGGATGAGAATACTAGGGCAAGAGAAGATTTCTGGCAAATGTAAGCATACAGAAGAGTAATAGCACTGGAGATGTTAACATTAAACAACTCCCGAGATGCCTGGACAATGCTCCAAGACATCTGGGTGTCTTTTCATTAAATATACCCCTGCAAACCAACCCCATTAATTCCTCAAGAATGTCCCTTCTCAGCAGTTAAGACCTCCATACACAGCCTCGTGGGGCTGGAGACTCTTGGTCACACCCCATCTCTAATCACTGCCTAGCCTGGCCCAGCAGAAGACAGACCTCCTGAGGCTGCCAGTGAGTTTGTTTCTCTTAAAGGTGGTGGAATAATTTGGAAAAGGACAGCAAGAATAGTTCCACAACTTCAGGAATGTAATCAACGTAACTGAACTGTACATGCAGAAATTGTAGAATTGGTATTTTCAGCACTTCCCCTCCCCCTAAAAGAATGCCCCTTCTTGTTTCCCAAGCAAATTTCTCACTTTGAAGCAACAGATGGTAAATGTTTAGCCTAAAAGTTTCTTTTCCCCAGACCTGTATCTCTAAGATTTTGTGTATTCCATGGGACTTGCTCTCCTGCACTACTGTATAACCTTCAAAGAACCAACTGTACGTCACACGATTATAAACGCCATGTAAGTGAAAAACTGCCTTGTGATGGTCTCAGTAGTTTTTCTAGAACTGACTGCCTGTTCTGAGCATCAAAGAAATATTTGAGAAATTACTTCATATATTTGTTATAGAAAACCAAACGTCTCTTTCTTTCTCTCTTTCTTTCACTCTCTTAATAGTTACTCTCTGTAATTGTCAAAGCCTTATTGTTTTTAACAGAGAAAAGCTTGCGCTATTATTCTCAAAACTCTAGGGATAAATTTTTTAAAAATCAGTTTATTTTGGAATAGAAAGATGTTTCACCTCTTACAAATCCTTTAAGAAAAATCAGCAATTGTGAATTAGAAACAGATATGGATGACTTTTCGTACCTTATTCATTGTCGATAATTTTATACGATTATTTTTTGAAGACCCCTTGTTCAGGGATGTGGGAAACAAGCCTTGTCCCCTATTCCTGCTCTAAACACTGACACACTCTATAAAGTTGGAGACATCACTTCTAGTCTCCACTCTTCATTAGTGAATTTGTCACAAACTGGACAGTCACCCTACCTCTTGACCCAAAGGAAACACGTGACTTCTCTCCATACCGTGTAATGGCGGCCACAGCGTCTTCTTTCCTTAGCCCTTTCACGGCCGCGTACACCTCCAGGTGCTCCCTCACTGTCAGGGTGGGCCACAGCGGGTTCTCCTGAGGACAGTACCCCAGGAACCTGACCACATTGTCTTCCTGGTGACCCCAAACTGAACTGGATCCTTTCAGCTCCACCTAAAAAAGAAAAATGGGTTTAGAAACACCTCTAGCCTTTTCTTCAATCGCACAATTACTCAAGAAATTGACATTTAATAATAATAAATGCCTGAATTTTTTGAGCATCAAAGCAATATTTGAGAAATTACTTCATATATTTGTTATAGAAAACCATTTAAACTACTAATATACAAGTATACCAATTGCCACAGAGTCAATTCCAACTCATGGCAGCCCCATATGTTTCAGAGTGTAACTGTGCTCCACTGGGTTTTCAATGGCTAATTTTTCGGAAGTCGATTGCCAGGTCCTTCTTCAGAGGAGCATCTGGATAGAGTGAACCTCCACCCTTTCAGTTAGTAGCTGAGCATGTTCACTGCTTGCATCCCCCCAGGGGCTCTTGTGTAGAAGTATAGTTTTATAAATATAAAATTGAACCATTCATTCATTTTTCACTACCTCTCCAGCCGTTGGCTTTGTGATCCCAGATATCATTCTAATAGATGAACTTTTACCAGCACCATTTGGTCCTAGCAATCCCAAAATTTCACCTGAAAGAATGAATCACTGACTGTTAATAATGGAAGTTAAATATTAACATAAATTTGTTTCTTCAATAAAATTTGAGATATTTGCACCCCCCCAGTAATTATCATTTTGAAATTTATAATATATATGTAATCCATGCCAGCAAAAGATGTTCTTTATCTCCTATATTATATAAAATATTATTGGAAAGCTTATAGATTCTATGTCAGTATATCTGTCGTCCTTTTCCAGGATATTTGTTTGAGTTAAAAGGGTTCAAATTGTTTTCTGTAATTAATTGCCACTGTGCTGAGTCCATGTATAAATGATTCCTAAACCTGTGAAGCCAGGGATATTTTGTCCATCCCAAGTTCTACCACCTGTGTCCAAACCACCATCATATTTCATCTAGATTGATATAAAACTTCTTAATTTGCCATTCCTCCAAATGTATGAACAAACAACAAACAGTGTAATATTTTCTAAACAGAAATTAAATGATGGCACGATTCTGCTAAAAAGCCTCCAATGGCTTTTCATGAACTTGGCTTAAAATATGAACTCCTTGCTGTGTTTTCCAGAGCTATACCTAATATGGTCCCTGCCCACCTCTTTGACCTCCTGCCTTCCGTGAGTAGATACCTCCACTGGTCTGTTGTCTCTCAACCACTCCAAACGTGTCTACAGTACACGTCTGAGTCCCTGTACTCACTGTTTCCTCTGTCTAGAAAGCTTGTATGTATTAATGATAACATGGCTGGCACCTTCCTGACACCCAGATATTGGCTTAATGTTGCTCCCCAAGTGAGGTCTTCTTTGTCCATCTAGCCAAATGCAGCCCCAATTCACTCCTTTCATTTCACTTATTTTAAGGCTCCACATAGAACTTAACTAATGTCTAATCCTTTTCTTGATAAGTTATTTTTGTTTATGGACCCCCAGCTAGGACTACGAGGGCAGGGACTTTGCCTAGTTCCTTCATAACTGTATGTCCAGAGACCAAAACAGATGCTGGCACACTAAAAAATATATGCTTAATGAATGGATGAATGAATGTTCCAGCAAGTAGAACAGTGCCTAAAACATGACAGATGTTCAGTGTGTATTTCTGAAAACAACAGTCAATAGAAAAGTGGTTATTGCAAACCTTTTTTAACACAGAAAGAGATATTTCTTGCAGCTATTTTCTTCTTTCTCTTTGAAAAGCAACATTTCTTCTTGCCTGCGTATTCTTTGTGTAGACAGCTGGCAATAATGACTGGTTTCTGAAATAGATGACAGCATGATTTTCCTCCTAAATTTCAAGGATTTCATGTGTCTGTGTTCTCCTTGCTGGACCCTTTCCTGTCCTATGTCATAAACCAAATCATATTTTGTATTGAGGGTAATCCATATTTATTGTTTCAAATGTAATATGCACTCCTTCATGTAAACAGTATTTCATGCTTCTCAATGAACTGAGAAGACAGCATAGTTTCATGGAAGCCAGCTCATTGTCTTTCCAGCACATAAGTGGCTAAGCTCATGGAAACATCACAATATCTAAGGCAAATAAAAGATAACCTTTGAAATTATACTCTCTATTTAGCATTTTATAACAAATTCCACTTAAACTCTTCAACTCATAAGGTATTGTTTGGTTTTAAAATTATAGCTCTACTTATCAAAATCCGTTTTCCTCAAAAAAAAAAAAAAAATCATGTTTTAGGTTCTTCTCTGGATAAAGCTTCAGTGAAGCTCCAAAGAAGTGCCTGTGTATTTAAAGATTAGTTTCAAAATGAAAACTAGCAGATTTTGACAGTTCTTGAATATTTCTGTTAATATTAATTTTGTCACTTGTTTTTCTACCTCATCAATGTTTGAAGTGGTCAGGGCAGTTGCTGTTCTTATTCTTTCTGCTTGAACATCTTCATCTTCATCTGAAGGTTCCTCTGCATTTGGTCGAGCATGTCTACTTTGGGGAGAAATTCTGTGGCGAAAATTAAGTATATTATATGTGGTTTTCTAGTTGTCAAGGATGTATCAAAAATCAGCTTCCCTGTGACCCTATCATTGTCCTTTCTTTCAACAGACTGCTGATGTGGACCCTATGGATACCTGCTTCTACCTTTGCCAAGAGCTCCCACCCCATTAGCCAAAATCCTTTCCTTGTTGTTGTAATCACTCTTCCAGTTAACACCTTGACTTTTTCAAATCAGCTGGCAAGTACTGCTGCTTCCTCTTTAAAAATCAGGTGACTACATTTTCTTGGTTCACTCTGAGCTCATCTTAATCATATTCAGATATTCTCTTTAGCATCTTTTACTAATAACCCCTTCTAGAATACCCCTACTTGCAAAACACTCTCAACCCTGAACTAACTCAATTCCATCCCATTTCTTTGGTTCAAGGACGCAGGACCATCTTGTATGGGAAAATGACTTATTTGGGTACTCATGAAATATTTGAGGGACTGGAAGTTACTTTCAGCTCCCTCAGCTGATTAGTGGCAGAACTCTGCCTGGAAGTCATAGTTCCTTGCAAGGAAGTCAGTGATCCACTGGCTAAAAGGACAACATAGTGCTGTTTATGTTGTACATGTCAATCCCCGCTAGGTCAATAGATTAGCCCCTACCTAGGAATATTAAAATATGATGTGAAGTGCCAAATTGAATTATTTTTATCCCAACCTGAAAACAGGGTCCTTTTGCATTGTTTTCTTCCCCCACTTTATTTCCAGGCATCTTAGAACAAACACGAAAATCACAACCTGAAAGTAAGGCTAGGAGAAAAGAAAAACAATGATATTTAGGGAAAATTTCACAAATATTATTTAAACATCTGAATTAAATTGGCAATCTTCTGTCTTCAGGTAAGGGTAAGATGGGTGGGGCTCATTCTTATCCATTGGGGAGAGATGGTTCTGGCTATACAGTTACAACCCAGCTCACTGGAACCTGACTCCTTTCTTCCTCTCACAATCCAAATCCAGCCTGGCAGCAAATTCTGTGCATTCTAGCTTTAAAATTATCCAGAAATTAACTACTTCTTATCCCTACTTATGCCACTCCCATCCAGGTCCACGGCGTTATCATTTCTCACCTGGATTATTGCAACACCTTCTTACCTGGTCTCCCTCTTCTCTCCTTGCCCCAATCATCTGTTGTCAGTACAGTGACCAGAATGACTCTTTCAATACATAAATCTGATCGTACCACTCTGCTTAAAATCCTCCACTGGCTCTTCATTCACTCAAAGTAAGACTCAAAGTCCATATGGTGATCCAGAAAGCTCTGGGTAACCCCTCTTGCTGCTCCACCCCTCACCCCATTACCTCTGTGATCTTCTCTCCTACCAGGCTCCCCCTTGTTATACTGCCAAACCACACTGCCTCCTGGCTGATGCTTGAACAAGCCAGGATCACTCCTGCTGCCTCTTTAGCTTGCTGCCTTCACTGATTCATGTCTTTATTTCTCTGCAGGGCCTTCCCTGACCACCCCTCTGACACAGTATACACTATTTATTTAGTTTATTATCTGTCTCTTCCTCTAGAATATAAGCTCCATGAGGGCAAGGATTTTAGTCTGCATATGTTCCTGTGCCTGGAAAAATGTTGACACACAGGATTCAAAGACAGTAGCTTTCCTCAGCTGAAATATACTGATATAATTTTCCCTTTCATTCTTATTGTTTGACTTTTGCCTTTTTAACCCAGAATTTAAAAGATTTAAGCTATAGTCCATCTGTATTTTCTGTCACAAGCTGTCTCAGGTTTGGAGGGAGGGCGTAGTAGACTCTATAAACAAACACACAAAAAATAATTTTATATTGAGCTCTGGACTTACCATCTACTGCATTCATACACACAAAAAGTAAATCTAGGATTTGAAATCATTATGTCTGAATATAGTTCTTCTACCTAAGACTACATTAAAAACACTTTAAAAGTTAACACACTTAAGACTATGTAGTTATACTAAATGATAGACATCCAAAGGAACATATGGCTAGGTAGAAAGGCCTTCTCACTATTAAGCACACTAGAAGATCAACTTCATTCAGGTCATAATTTTTGTCTTCAAATGTTCTATGCTGCTCATTGATTCTCTGCAAAAAAAAAAAAAAAAAAAGGACAAATGGAAATTGATCGGTTTTAAAATTTGCATTTAAATAATATGAAATTTCACATATGGAACATTATTTCCCTTATTAAGCTTGATATCCCTAGGCACACTGAGGACAAGTAATTACCTGCAGAGAAGAGAGAAGGGTTTCCTATTCAAATCTGATTGGCTCGCAATGACCTGGTAGCCTATGTCTGGCTCCCTCTTCTAATCTTTTTTTTTCTTTTTATTATTATTAATACCAAGTCTCTTGGCTTTAAAGTTCTCTGAAAGCTTACCAAAAGTGTAGCTGGAAAAGGTGCTAGCACTGTGAAAAACGCTGATCAACATTATTTATCTTAATGGCTCCACACAAGCCTTTATGGTATTCTTTCCTATCCCAGTGGTGTTTTACCACCACAATAATAAGTTCTGTTATTTATTCTTCCTTCATCAAGCAATACATTCAGAAATTAACTCATTCTCCATAAATAATATGTGACAGACACACATTCATATATTTCACCTTGAAGGTCTGCTTATAGGGGGAAAATGCTTTAAGCAAAAGAATTAGTTTCCAGTCAAGAATTCCAGGCATCATTCAGCCCGTAGAAAAGTATTTTTGCAGGCAAAAAGTTTTCCCAGTTCCCCAAGAATACAAACCATTAGGGAAGCCCTTTCTCCTTCCTTTAAAGCTCATTCACCAGGATGATGCAGGGCCCCGGGAGTGTGCTTCTGACTAAGTTATCTCATTCTACATTCCAGCCTGTTCATATACTGTACTTCTCTTCATTTGAATCATATTCCATTTCTTTAATGTCTCCTGGTCTTTCCTGCCTCAATGCCTTTGCTTCCCTTTGCAGAACATGCTTGTCTCCTTCCTCACTCTCGTACTAATTAATTCTTACTCCTCCTTTAGGGCTCTGTTTAAACGTCACTGCCCCCAAAATAATTCTCTGACTCTCCGGAGCCCATCAGCTATGCCTCGTGTGTGCTCCTTTGGCCCTTTGTTACACTTTGTGTAACCCTCTGCTTTGTAACACTCAAGCCCCTTGCATTAACTTACTTGAGGTTGGTCTGTTTTAATCGCCACTCCAAACCAAATCCACTGCTGTTGAGTTGATTCCAACTCATAGCAACCCTATAGGACAGAGGAGAACTGCCCCACAGGGGTTCCAATGCTGTAAATCACGAAAGTAGACTGCTACCTCTTTCTTCCGTGGAGCGGCTGGTGGTTCGAACTGCTGACCTTTTGGTTAGCAGCTGAGCGCTTTAACCAATGCACCACCGGGGCTCCTTTAATCACCACTAAGCTATCTGAAAGGAAGGACTGTACACTTTTGTTCACCAAGTGTCTCCGGTTATTAGCACAGTGCCTAGAGTGTAGAAGTGTTTAACATATATGTATTTTTTGATGAATGAATAGTATTGTATATGAATTTATCCTCTCAATGGACAATGACTACTCATTGAACTAGACTCTGTTACACTGTTTTCAATATAGCATATTAGAATAGGATTTCACAAGCCCTGGTGGCGTAGTGGTTAAAGCAATCAACATCTAACCAAAAGGGAGGTGGTTCAAAACCACCAGCGACTCTGCGAGAGAAAGATGTGGCAGTCTGCTTCCATGGAGATCTACAGCTTTGGAAACCCTATGGGGTCGCTGTGAGTTGGAACTGACTCAAGAGCAGTAGGTTATGTTTTCCAAAGTGTATATGGTGAAGCTTTTTTAACAGCTTTACTGAGGTATAATTTTTATACCATAAAGTTCGCCCATTTTAAGGGTACAATTCAGTGATTCTTAGTTAAGTTTACAGAGTTGTGTAATCATCCCCACGATTCAATTTTAGAACATTTCCATCACCCCAAAGAGATCCCTTATTCCCATTTGCTGTCCCTCCCTATCCCCATTTAATCTATTTTCTGTTTCTGTAGATTGAGACAAAGCACTTTAATAGACTGCATATTTAAAATAAATGACACAGTAATATTTCTTACCGCTGTTACAAACACGAAAAATCCACTTATGGTAAGTGAGGGGAAGAAGACCATGAGAGTAATCAGGGTCGTGAAGCTGAACTCATGCATTACAACGAAGTCGAATGTGATGACCGTGATCTACAAGGCAAATCAAGACAGACTGCCTATCAGACAAAATCAGCCCACTGACATGTGAGAAAACAGAGCTAAGTGTTCTCATCATGTATGTAAGTATTTTTTCTCATATGCAAATACACCCGGATAGTCGTCATGATTTCCCCTTTCAGAGGAAGGAAGAGGAGTAGGGAAGCTTTAGTTAATGAGAATATATATGCTCCTTAGCTCCGCAATAGAAAATTCTAAATAGATAAAAAGTCTGGGGATTAAGGTGAAAGCTAAAATGATCAAATAGACTTCCTGGCAGTACATTATTAAGTGTAAGCCAAGACAATAAGCTAAAGAGAGGAAATATCTTTTTATAGCTAAGGTAATAATATTGCTATTGTATAAAAATATGTACCCAGTGAAAAGTTACATGAACAATTATAGAAAAAGAATCCTCTCACCGAGACTCTCAAGCTATTGCAAAGCTTTCTCGTTATCTTCCCTGCTACGTTTGTTCCTCATTCCAAAGAGATGATTTTTGTAAAATTGTGCATTTTGATTGTAATGGACTTTTTTCTATTAGAATACTTGGAAATGGGGGGAGGTTAAAATATTTTTTATTTTTCTGTTTTAAGAATTAATTTTTCAGTCAACAAGTATGTATTAAGCACTGTATTTGACCTTTGCTAGATCATTAATGTATTAATTTGAATCTACCAGTCACTCCTTGGAAACTCTATGGAGCAGTTCTACTCTGTCCTACAGGGTCACTATGAGTTGGAATCGACTCAATGGCAACGAGTTTGGTATTGCTATCTCCATTGCTCCAGGCAAAAGTGACTATTACTAACATTACACTTAACATTAGAATAAGAATGCTATCCGTCTGCTTGTATATATGTACATACACTTACCACATAAAAACAAAATGACCAAAGGCTATTATTTTTTCTCCTCTTGTGAAAAATAAATGATATCACATATGTCAAGAAGACTAGAGAAGCTGCATAACCAACTGTATTTACAACCTGAAGATAATACAAATAAGATCAAAGTCAAAAGAGAAAATATTAACTGAGAGAAAAATTAAATTATGCATATTTTAAAAATATTTTATTGCACTTACACTTTGCATGATTTTTATGGCTATGGCAAAATAAAAATAAAATGTCTTGATAATATAAAGTATCAATGCTAAAATTTATCATTATCTTATAAAATACGGTCTAGGTCACATCCTACTTACCAGACCAACCACAATTCGACTTGTGAGGTAAATGTTCACTGAAGATGTTAAGTAGAAAAATAAATACGTTGCAAAGAGAATAAGGATGTAGAGGTTAATATCCACCAGCGCCTGCCCAGACCAGTAAGCGGAAGTGTAGAGGCCTGAGGTCCATAGCTGGGAGTGAGCTTTATTCTGATGAAAACACACAGGATATACATAGATTCAACTGAAATCCAAAACCATAATCAACACATTGTAAGATTTATTTAAATAAATCTAATCTAAGATTTTTTAAATGCATATACCATTTAGAAACCTGAGATATATAAAGCCAATTCCATAACAGTGGTCATTTAAAACAATTATATTTTTTTGTTTGATAGAGTTGATTGGCAACACCTCTTCGATTCATGAATAATGAATAGAAAAGTAGACCTCAGGATGATCAAGGCATTGTTGTTGTTGCTGTTAGTTGCCATGGAATTGATTCTGACTCATGGTGACCCTATGCATGCAGAGTAGAACTGCTCTACAGGGTTTTTAAGGCTGTGACCTTTTGGAAGCAGGTCGCCATTTTCACCACCCAGGGACTTCCTGATCAAGGTGTTAAGCTCCTTCAGAACAAATGTTATTTTGTGACCTAAAGGTCATAATAAATTCTCCTTTTGTGTAAACATCCTCTTGGGGAGTTACTGGCTCAAGATGTATAGGTTGCCTTATCTAAATATGCTTTGTTTTTTTTGGTTATTGGGATTGCCCAACCCCAATTCCATCTTACATTCCCAATTTTTGCGTTGGAAGGGGGTTTCAGTTTTTAATTTTGTTTTTCAATTTCACCTTCACGCGTTTCTTTTTTTTGTTTGGAAATTATTTTTTTCGGAGGTTTTTTATGTTTCTTTCTCATTTGGAGGTTTTTATTCATTTGAGTCTTTGCAAAATTAGTGCACTTCTTCTGTGATTTTGAAGTAAAGATTATTTTGTGTTTTAGAAGTAAATTTTCTGATTTATTAGAAATATGGCTTAACTAACTTACCTCAGTTAAACATATGTTTAAAATGTTTATCCTGCAAGAAAATATTTGAACATAAAATATTCAAAATGCAATTACTGAAGTTCCAGAATTTTCTGTATTTGCTCCCCTTTTTCTTACTTTGTAATCGCTGACACTGCTCATGGCGATGTAAGGAGAAATGCTGCATACAACCAGAACTAAGAACAAGGAGCCTTCAGGCAGATCAGTCCAAATGAATATATAATGCTGCAAACATAAAGAGAGCTTTAAACTAGTGAACATTTATTAAACTTACATAAATACTGACAATCATAAAGAATGTGCTTTTTGAAATATTGAAAAATTAAAATCAAAGTGCACATCCAGCTCATCAACATCTACACATGGAGGCTAGAGGGGAAACGACTTCTGGTAATTTTACACGAGGCTTAAACTCCTATAACCCAAGCAGTCAAAAATAATTTAATAATTGTGACCCCAGATAAACAGGTAATTCAGACTTGAGCAGCAAGTCTTTCTCAGTAGACCTAGTGATGGCTATGTGAAGATCTGGCTGTTGGATGGGTATGTTTGAGGCTCAGAGATCAAAAGGAAGTTCAAATGCTGTTATGGAGTGAATTGTGTCCCCCCCAGTTAAATGCTGGAATCCTAACCCCTATACCTATACATGTCATTCTGTTTGGAAATAAGGTTTTCTTTGTTATGTTAATGAGGTCATATCAGTGTAGGGTGTGTCCTAAACCTAATCACTTCTGAGTTATAAACAGAGCAAGCACATAGTGGGGAAGACAGACAACATGTGAGGATCACTGAGTACCAACGAATGCTTGCAGCTACCGACAAGGAAGGAATCAACATGGCCAAGACCCTGATTTGGGCTTTCAGCCTCCAGAACTGTGGGGAAATAAATTTCTGTTGTTTAAAGCCACCACCTTGTGGTATTTCTGTTACAGCAGCACTAGGAGACCAAGATAGACGCCAATGAATCCATCCTTAAGAACTTTAAATCACTATCGCCGTATCAGTGCTTGCCTGAGACTGGTCTTAAGCCCAGGCAGTGCACAGACCTGCTTCCTGCATATAATTACAGGATAGCAGAGTGATAGCTCATCCCAAAGTACTTCTTCAACTCTTAAGCTTTATCTAAGGCTGTGGTGGCCTACATCCATAAATCCAGTGCTTCACTAGGTGGGAAAGTGTGTGAACATCATTCCAGGAATGATTGAAGATGAAAGGTGTGTGTCACTGAGGGGTGCCTATAAGAGTAGCCATGGGTACCTTGGCCCATTTTGATCCTGCGCAGACAGGTAATGGCATGAAGATGCTAAAACACCGAGGGAAGCTAACCCCTCTCTCTGTATCTGCCACCTGCTGGTCCTGCTTTCTCTCTTGCCCACTACTGGTGAGTTCCCTTCAGACGTTATTCCTCTGAGTTCTCCTATCACCTCTGGGCTGGAGGGACAAGAGAGTGGGGCCATGCGACTGGAGCCCAGGGGGCAGGGTCCTCCTGCTCCCCCATTTCCCACCAGTGCTTCCCTTGTCTAAACCCGCCTATAATCAGCTGACGCCAACATACAAACAAACCCATCGCCATAGAGTCAATTCTGACTCATAGCGACCCTACAAGACAGACCAGAACTGCCCCACAGAATTTCCAAGGCTGTAACCTTTACGGAAGCACACTGCCACATCTTTCTCCCTCAGAGCAGCTGGTAGGTTTGAACTGCCAACCTTTTGGTTAGCAGCCAAGCGCTTAACCACTGTGCCACAGAATCCTGAAAATGCAGCTGTGTGGATCAGATCCTCCTGCACTGTAGAACAACCATGAGTAGGTGAAGGAATGAATCAGAAAAACATGCTGGCCCAGAACTGGCACATTCTCCTTCATATTTAGTCAATCCACTATCCATATAGTCAGCAGAGGATCCACCTGCAAATTATATTATATTTCTGAAATTCTAAAGCTGAGTTATGAGTACTGCTGAGTTCCAGTTTAGGGCTCTCTCTCTGTCTGTCTCTACTACACTTCTTCAATAAGTGTGTATAACTTCGCAGAAGATTCTCTAGGAAAATATGACATTATATTGAAAGGTATACCTCCATGACAATTCTTCGACACTAACTTAACCAGGAAAAAAAAATCATATTGTGTTAGATGTACTTTGTTTAAAATGTGAGGACAAAATAATAATTTTTAGGATTAGCAATGAATTGTTAGTATTTAAAAGCTAAAGAGGGAAAATGTAGGTTACTTGTCAAATTCCTGATTGTTCAGAAGGAGTAAATGCAATACTTACAGAAAACAATGTGCCTCTTTCAGTTTGAATATATTTTGTAAGATTAAACATTCCAAGCAGCCCATTGCTGACAATATTCATAAGCACAGGAAAACAGTGAAGTCTGTTGGTATTGCACACAACTGAAAATCTATAATCCTTTTAATAAAATAAACCAAAAAAGAAAAAAAAAACAACAGAAAACCCAAAATACATGATATTAATTCTAAATCCTTAAAGAACAAAGACAAGCTTTTGATATATAAGATCTTAACAGTGCCACATTCTAGCTGTGTGACTGTCTTCAAATTAACTGACCTTTCTGAGCTTTAGCTTTCTCACCTGTGAAAGGAGATAATAAATGGGTTGTAATATGATTTAAATGAGATAATGCATATCAGACCCTAGCACAGTGTCGGCATCCACCCAATATAAGTTTTTATTAAATTTACTCATTTTAGATCATTTCCCCCAATTTTGCAGATGAGGAAATTTCAGCTCTCAGACTTTGAGAGTGGCTCAGGTGCCAAGACACTGTCGGTTTACAGTGAGCAGGCAAAGGGATGTGACTTTCTGAAAAGCAGATGAGATTCACAAAATACTCATGGTTACTCCACCAGTGAAGCATTTCACACTTTCTAAGACAATGTTTATGCACTTTATGTTTATTAAAATGTTTAAGGATTCATTGATGTGTTTAATATGGTTTAAATACTACCAGTAGTTCATGTAGCAAACGTGTTAGACAAGCAACAAGGACAGAGCCAAGCTGGTGCCAAGAGGCTATATTTTTTATTATGTGCTTAGTTTAGTTAGAACTTAATGATACATCTTCAATGGCTTTCATTTTTGTTTTTGTTTTCCTTTTTATTTCTCTTGAATAGAGGAATAAAGAGGAAGCTTTACTTGGTTTGGTCCCTTACTTTTTTACTGGAGTGTAAAAAAGACTCAGGAGTTCTACTATGACTAGGTGCATTTTCAACAGTCTTGATTCTTGGCCACTCTGTTGCTCGAACTAGCTCACCCAAGTTGAAATATGCTAAGACAGTAGACTGAGAACACTTTTCTCTCAGAGATTTCATGTGGCTATTATACTTTTCAATGTATTTTCTCAATATATAAAAACATTGAAAAGTCAAGCATTTAATAAAATTCTTTAAATCATAATTATATTTGGTTGATAACTGTAAGTTCCAATATTTTTTGTTTGACTAACCCAATTAAATTTAGCTAGTTTCAAATGTAAAAAGTATCTAATGTAAAACAAAGTTAAGGTATATTGATAATATACAATAATGAATATTGTTCTACAAAAAAAACTTATTTAAATTTCACAGTTTATTTAATAATGAGCCAAAATGGTTTTCTGAGTCATGCCGCTATACCCTGGCTGAGGTGACTTTCTGCAGATTTTAAAGCAGTTAGAATGTAGCACTTTCTTGGTTTTGTTGTTGTTTTCATAAAAGTAAAAGCAAGAGACAAACACACCTTTTGTTTACCAGAAACTATGATAGCTCCATTGTATGAAAGGTCATCAGTGCCATTTCTATTTTCAAAGTCATCTACTTCCAAAACTATATTTTGATGTTTCAGTGCATGTATAAAATCTTCTATATTTGATTCTAGTATGAAATCAATAACAGAAGGCCATATAAGAGCAAGAAAATATGGGTCAAATTTTTTAAATAACTCCCATATACAATTTAAAGTCAATGTTCATAGCATATTACATATATGTCTATTTGGGCATAACAATAGTAATATTGGCCTATGACACAGAAATTCTCCCAAATATCTCAAAATAAAGTTGTTCAGCCAAGATAGAAGTTTATTTCTCTCATACATAAGGTCTTAGAGTAGGCAAGCAGAGAGCAGCTCTGCTCTGCAAGGCTGTATGGTGACCCAGGTTCCTTCTCTCTAGTCTCGCCATCCCCATCATCCCCCAAATCAGAGCAAACTTTACACACTGTTCCTCCTAAGTTGTTTTTATAAAGTTCAAATCACATTTTTGGCCCTTATGATTTGCTTTTTCCCCAAGCATGTGCTATTTAACAATAAAAAATAATTAATTTCTGGATTGAAATTCTATTTTTCAGTTCACCTGTGTTATTGATGATCAATAGGCTGGTATGGGGCTCCTTGGGGAGTTGTCCAGGAGAGAGGAAATACAATTCAGGTTTAAATTCCAAATCACTGTTGTGATTTAATATGGCATAAAGTAGCATTTCCACAATCAACGGCAATATTGCAATTCCAAACACCAATAGTCTAACAATAAAGAAACATTACTATATGACTCTTTAGTAGTTTAATGCATTCATAGTCATCCCACAACTATTGCTGAGTGCCAGTTTTACTCTACAATAGCCATATTTCTAGGAGCTAAACATTCGAAAGTCATACATCAGCATGCTACAGGACTGAAAGGCATCACTATATAAACACCAGGCTATCAAACTATGAAAACTAAACACGCATGTTCACAAGCCGAATCACGTGCTGACATACAGGTGTTCTCAGTGTCAGTAAAATCCCATGCTGCCTTCATCCCCTGGCAGGAATATTGGGCATCATACTCTAGTTCTGAATGCTGTTCTGGCTTGAACCTCTTTTGAAACTCATTGTCTCACAAAATCAAAGTATACTCTAGTACTCACAGGGTCAAAAGTTCTTTCTTTCCGTGTTTTAGCTTTAAGAAACGGAGCCGTGCTATTGCACAGACCTGCAGTCTCCATAGAGCCATGTCACTCACAGTCTTCTGCTCTTCAGGGAGAGATGAGCAAGCAGGCTCCATTTCATCTAGGCTTCCTGGGTCTCTTTTCACCTCTGCTTGTTCAAAATCTACACACACACACACACACACACACACACACAGACGCACACAAATTGTTAATGTAATCTTGGGGCACCACATTTTCTCTTTTTAGTAACATTAAAAATTGTTTCAGAATGTTTGTCATTACAATGCAAACAAAATAAGAAACAAATTATGTTTATGGTGTCCTTATTCAATAAACTTAGTGATAAGATATACTGGATTCAAACCAAAATAAGAAGAATTTACTAAAAAGCTATCTCATTATACCCAGTCTCGGAAAAGGAATAGAACAATATTCTGACAGATTTCCAGAAATCTTCTCCATAGAAATAGTTGATCATAAATGCCTAAATGTCTACTATTAATGTATCAATAAATTAGTAGTGTAGGTGAAAGCTCACCAGTTCTGGAACCATCAAACCTGCACTGGAATCCCACATATATGACTTGTTGTTGTGTTGCTGTTAGGTGCTGTAGAGTCAGTTCCACCTCATAGCAACGTTATGTATAATAGAATGAAACTCTGCCTAGTCCTGTTCCACCCTCACAATCATTGTTATCCTTGAGCCCATTCTTGCAGCCACTGTGTCAGTACATCTTGTTGAAGGTCTTCCTCTTTTTCGCTGACCCTCTACATTATCAAGCATGATGTGCTTCTCCAGGGACTGATCCCTCCTGATAACATGTCCAAAGTACATGAGACAAAGTCTCACCTTCCTTGCTTCTAAGGAGTATTCTGGTTGTACTTCTTCTAAGACAGATTTGTTTGTTCTTTCAGCAGTACATGGTATATTCAATATTCTTCCCCAACATCATAATTCAAAGGCGTCAACTCTTCTTCGTTCTTCCTTATTCATAGTCCAGCTTTTCCAGGCATATGAAGTGATTGAAAATACCAGGGCTTGAGTCAGGTGCACCTTAGTCCTCAAAGTGCCATCTTTGCTTTTTAACACTTTAAAGAGGTCTTTTGCAGCAGATTTGCCCAATGCAATATTGATTTCTTGACTACTGCTTCCATGGTTGTTGATTGTGGATCCAAATAAAATGAAATCCTTGACTACTTTAATTTTTCTCCATTTATCATGATGTTGGTTATTGGTCCAGTTGTGAGGATTTTTGTTCTCTTTATGTTCAGGTGTAATCCATACTGAAGGCTGTAGTCTTTGATCTTCACCAGTAAGTCTTTGATGTCATTCCACAACTTGTCTGGTCTTTGGACATTAGTGTTTAATGCATCATATCTATTCTTGAGATGGTCTCTAAATTCAGGTGGGATATAGTTAAGGTCGTCCTTTGGCTCTCGTGGACTTGTTCTAATTTTCTTCAGCTTCAACTTGAACTTGCATAGGAGCAATTGATGTTCTGTCCCACGGTCGGCCCCTGGCCTTGTTCTGACTGATGATATTGAGCTTCTCCATCTTCTGTTTCTACAGATGTAGTCAATTTGATTCCTGTGCATTCCATCTGGTGAGGTCCACCTGTATAGTTGCCATCTATGTTGTTGAAAAAAAGGTATTTGCAATGAAAAAGTTGTTGGTCTTGCAAAATTTTATCATGTGATCTCCAGCGTCCTTTCTATCACCAAGGCCATATTTTCCAACTACTGATCCTTCTTCCTTGAATGGACAACTTTCACATTCCAATGATCAACAATTATCAATGCATCTTGATTGCATGTTTGATCAATTTCAGACTACAGAAGTTGGCAAAAATCTTCAATTTCTTTATCTTTGGCCTTCGTGGTTGGTATGTAAATTTGAATAATAGTTGTATTAAATGGTCTTCCTTGTACGTATATGAATATTATCCTATCACTGACAGTGTTGTACTTCAGAATAATCTTGAAATGTTCTTTTTGACAATGAATACGATGCTATTCCTCTTAAATTTGTCATTTCCGGCATAGTAGCCTATATGATTGCCCAATTCAAAATGGCCAATACCAGTCCATTTCAGCTCACTAATGTCTAGGACATCTATCTTTTTAAGCTTCATTTCATTTTTGATGACTCCCAATTTTCCTAGATTCCTACTTCATACACTCCACGTTCCCATTATAAATGGATGTTTGCAGCTGTTTCTTCTCATTTTGAGTTGTGCCACATCAGCAAAAGAAGGTCATGAAAGCTTTACTCCATCCACGTCATTAAAGTCAACTCTACTTTGAGGAGGCAGCTCTTCCTCAGTCATCTTTTCAGTGCCTTCCAACCTGAGGAGGTCATCTTCCAGCACTATATCAGACAATATTCTGCTCCTATTTATAAGGTTTTCATTGGCTAATTTTTTTCAGAAGTAGACCACCAGGTCCTTCTTCCTAGTCTGTCTTAGTCTGGAAGCCTAGCTGAAACCTGTCCACTATGGGTGACCCTGTTTGTATCTGAATATCAGTGGCATACCTTCCAGCATCACAGCAACACATAAGTGGTGGATATACGATTTACTAGTATGTTATCTGAGGCAAATCACTTAACGACTCTTAGGTCTGATTTGATCATTTGTAAAATGGTGCAATGACTCTTGTTGGAAAGTTTATTGTAGGAAGGTAATGCAATATATTCACACATTGATCATAGTAGCTATTTAAGTATTTATAACTGACTATTCCTATGGAGAAGATTTCTTGAAATCCCTCAGAATATTGTTTTATATGGGACCTTCTACTCTTTTTCAAAGACTGGTTATAATGAGGTCACTCTTTAGTAAATTCTTCTTATTTTGGTATGAATCTTGTATATTTTATCACTAAGTTTATTGAATAAGGACACCATAAATGGGAGCTGTCATTATTGTCACCATTAAAATGTACAGGAGACTATCTCAAGCTTTCTTCCCATTACGACCTTAGTGGAAATTTGTATATTAACAAGCTACAAGAAAATTTTTATAAGAAATATCTGCTCAGACCTCATGGTCCTGATTGAGATCTTTTTCATAGCCTCCATGTACCTCAGAAGGAGTGAGCATCTGAGGGTTATGAGAAAATTGCTGAAATTGGAGGCAGATAGTTTCTAAAGAGGAATTTGGTTTAAGCCAAGAGGTAACCTGTGAGCATTCTAGTAATGATGTTTAGGAAACAATGATCCTGTAAAAAACCAAATCCATTGCCATCAAGTCGATTCTGACTCATAGTGACCCTGTAGGACAGAGTAGAACTGTCCCATAGAGTTTCCAAGGAGGGGCTGTGGATTTGAACTGCCAACCTTTTGGTTAGCAACCGAGCTCTTAACCACTGCACCACCAGGGCTCCAATAGCAGAGCCAAATCTGGAATTAATCACATTCCTTAGTCTGAATCATACATAAGAAATTATAAATATTAAATTGATATATGATCATCTAGTGATTGATTTTCTATGAATTACACAAATGGTTTCACCTTGTTTGATAGTTGATTTTCCTTCTAGTTTTGCCAAGACTTCACTCAGAGTTGACATGGAAACGTCATAACTCACCACCCCCTCGCCAGAACACTTATCAAGATCACTGAAAAGGTCTAAGATAACAGACAATAATAGATACATTTGAGTGGAAAAACACATGAAAAACTAAACTTGGTAAATTAACACTTATTTAAAAGATGATGCAGAAAACCATTCAGAAAAAATATGTATTTAGAATATCACATTAATCAAAAGCAACATTTCATTAGAATTCTTTCACTCTCTGAAATTACTAGATTTTGGACCTCTCTCTCTCTAATCAAATCTTCTGCACACCATCTTCTATTCTCAGCTCGTGAACTTCCTGCAAATTTCTGAGGAAATACGAGCAATCAAAAGAGCATCATCTTTTCAACACTACACCACAAATCAATGTGTATCTCACCGACATTTTCGGTCTTCGTTCCTGTATTGGTGGAAGATTTGTAACTGCTCCTGTCAAAGGCTAATAACTCTTTCACCTGTGTTCTGAATTCCATCCCCTCTCACCATCTTACAGACTTTGATCCCATTGTGATCACCTATATATCCCAAAATCGTAATACAATTTTGTTTATTGTGTGTGTGCACTTCTCCACACCCAACGAAATGTAGGCTCCATGAAGGTAGGGACACACGCGTCTTACTTAACTGTATTCCTGCTGTTGTTGTTTGTTGTCATTGAGTCAATTCTGATTCATGCGACCGCATGGGTTACAGAGTAGAACTGCTCCACAGAGTTTTATTGGCTGTAATCTTTACAGAAAACCAAACTATGAGTCGGAATCTACTCAACGGCAACAGGTTTGGTTTTCTGGTTTGGAATCTTTATGGAAGCAGATCACCAGGCCTTTTTCTCCACGGCACCACTGGGTGGGTTTGAACCGCCAACCTTTAGGTTAGCAGCTGAGTACAAAGCATTTGCACCGCCTAGGGACCTTGCTGTATCCTTAGTGCCTTTTATATAACCGGCTCCCAATAAACATTTATTGTGGCTCTCTTCCATGGGGATATTTGGATGAAGATGCAAGCTTACATGCCACTTTCTATACCTGGTGGCGTAACACACCAGCAATATTACTGAGAGGACCAAGAAGGTGAGCCTATAGCAGTACTGTTTG